ATATTATATATATATATATATATATATATATATATATATATATATATATATATATATATATATATATATATATATATATATATAACTTAATGGGTAAATATAGGTAGGTATATGAATAGAGTTACCCCCCTTGATTTCCCAACGCCTTTTTTTTTTGTTTATTTACGTTTTCAACACCAGCATCTCTCTACTTTAGAATTTATATTTCTTAAATATTAATCTTAAATTCAAATTCAAAATTAAACTACAATTCATTTAAATATCTTAACTACAATAATATTCCATTCTACCAATAATATATCTCGCGTGAACCAGAAAATGAAAAAAAAACAAAAACAAAACAAAAAAAAAAAAAACGGTATCAACACAAAATATAGATATTAATAAATACAATAATTTCAGCACTTAAAAAATTGCTTCGGCATGAAACTCGGAGTTGTTCAATGAATGTAAGATATTATATGTATTTCTTAATATATATATATATATATATATATATATATATATATATATATATATATTAGTGGAAAATATACATACATATGCAAAATATATATAAAAATTTCCATACATGTATATTTTCAGAAAAAAAAAAAAATACATGTATATTTTCAGAAAAAAAGAGGAAGGATCCAGGTAGAACTCAATGTCTAGGACAGAGTAAGGATATAATAAAAAGGCTTAAACACTAATATTCCATGGTCATAATTTATTCCATTGGAATTGTAAATACGATCCAAATCATCAGACCTACAAATTCAAAATGAAAACAGACAATACTGGCAGTAGAGTCCGGCGTTGCCCGGGGATGTAACAGTAAGAGTTGGGGACGGCTGTTGCTTTGAAAGATGTACTTTGTAAGTCGACAGGAACTAAGTTTCTACAAAACGTTGAAACACAATGCACACAATGTTTAAGCAGACATCATGCAGGCCCAAGTATTCGAAGGTGTCGAAGGAAGTAACGGAAAGCCGTTGTAGCATCAGTCATTTTCCATTACTAAGACATCTGTGAGTAAAAGCTGGCACCAGTTACTGCTTTAACCAATTGAACCTTTAAGCATTACTGGAAGCACTTGTAGTAAGTAGTCAAGAAACCACGATTCAGTTGCAACATACATAGGGATTGAAGGGAAAACGTGCCGTGAGGAAGCCATAGACATAAAGTATGCGCCGTGCGCAATCTCAAACCGCTCGTCTTATGCCCAAAAGACGGCGCTGCCACGACCACAAAGCAGAATCGTAAAACCGAGAGAAGAGCGAACAGTGACGGGGTGTCATGCTAAGAAAATTTCTGTGATATGACTTCCTTTATTCTGATCTGTCACTATCTCCATTGCGGCTGAGAGCCCTTAAAACCGCAACGGGGGTAGCCGTAAGGCCCAGCATCGTAATTGCACTGGAGAAGTGCCTTCTCTTCAGTCGCAGTCAACATCACGGCTGAGAGCTTATGAAAACTGACCGGGGTCACCGTACTTGGCGTGTGTTTTTAGTTTTTTTTACACGACTACAAACAAAACAATAGAGCCGTATGGCTGACATGTTTCACCCATGGCAGCCGTAAAGTGTATATGGAAGCAGAAGCCTGAATTTCGTAGACGCACTCGACTTTTGTGACAATTAAACGAACTCCGAAGCTTCTCAAGTGTCAATGTGCTTGTATGCACTGTTACGAACTGCAGGTGCTCCGATCAACTGTTAATGAAACCGGAACTTTAGTGGAGCAATCATGTCTAAGGCCGGTGTTCATGTGCCTAGCAGCTTGTGTTGCAACTGAATACGGTGAGGTTATCATAGTGTACAAACAACCGCGATGATGGCGGGTGAAGGTATGAAAGTCAGAAGGCAGCAAAAGAGCTGGATAACCTTTACAAAGATGTCTTAGTAATGGCAAGTGGAGACTATGACGACCTAACGTTAAAACCAATATGACTAACAAAACAATTGCCATGCAATCGGACTGCATATATGTGCATGGCACTTAAACGCTACCGGGCGGGTTGTCTACAGGACCTCCGTGTAGGTTATGTTTCTAGCACATTTGTTAGGAGAGTAAATGAAAACCCTGTCCTTAGACCCAACTCGTGAGCACCCAACGTAAAGTTGACCGTGAGAGAAGCACTGCTCACGTAAATGCAGACCTGCAATGCTAAGCGTCTGTCCTTGTGATTTGTTAATGGACATAGCAAAGCAAAGCTTCACGGGAAATTGTGAGTGACGAAAGTTGATTGGTATCCTTGCGTCTGACGGCAGAAGATGCATCCTGGGAATCAGAACGACTTCCCCCTTGATGCAGCCAGTTGCAATGGTCGCCTCAATCAGGTTCGGAGGAAGGGATTTAATAATGAGGCGAGTCCTGTTGCACTGTCTAGGTGGGAGCAAATTCCTGATTAGTATAATCGGAGCACCAACTTTGAGCCGAAGAATATGATGTGGGAGTCCGGACGGCTGAAGGGAGTTCAAAACTTCGATGGGATACTCAGTTAATTCAGATGGATCGGAAGTTCAGTCGATGGACTTAAAATATGGCATTGCTCGGTAATGCAATCCAACAGTTTAAGGTTGATGGAATCAACTGTACAGTTCTTCGGTGCCAATATGGCCCTCCCAGCAAGCCAATCGGCATCGGCAAAATTAGTGGATAGGTTGTAGAAGACTGCATTCATCAATTCATCCGGTGATTCAACAGTGGTGGCAATCTGATCCATCTGCACAAAACCCAGATGGCATTTTCCCCTCCCCAAGAGCAAAAGGTCCCGTACGAAGTCAGCGGATCTGGAGTCCACATTCAAGTAGGCACGCATGTTCGTGCTTTAAGAGTCTCCACGTGGCGCCAAAGGGCAGACGACTTCAGGCAGGCAGGGACAGCGTCAGCGCGCGTACCTTTAGGAATAACAGGTAGAGTCTGCCTAAAGTCGCCTGCGAGGAGAAGGGTTACTCCACCCATGGGGTCGGAGGAGTCGCGGATGTCTTGGAGACTTCGGTCAAGTGCCTCAAGGGCGTCCTTGTGTGCCATCGTGCACTCATCCCAAACTATAAGTTTGCATCTCCGCAGAACTTCAGCCTGTGGCGAATTCTTTGTTATGTTGCAGAGAGGAGTTTGTGACCGGCATAGATCAAGCGGCAACCTAAAAACCGAATGAGCGGTTCTACCTCCCGGTAGCAACGTTGCAGCAATCCCGGAAGATGCGACCGCAATAGTGATCTCCCCACGACGCCGTACCTCTGCCAGGATTAATTTAGTAACAAAAGTTTTGCCAGTTCCTCCGGTCGCATCTAAAAGTGTATACCTCCACTGTAGCCGTTTGCCCTTTCTGTTATAGTAGTAAAAGCAACCCTCTGATCAGGTAGAAGTTTGGGCTCGTTTTCGGTAATGTATGCGTTCAGCCCATCGATGGAGTAGGATGTTTCCCGCAATAACTCAGTTGGTAAAGTGTTAAAACCGTCTCTGAGCGGTGGTGGTAAACTGTAAGTTGGTAAAGAGGCACCTCCAAAACAACATCTTCGAGGGCCACCAACGCTCTGTTGAATATGAAGTCAGTGAAACCTCATTCAACTCCTGGGTTGTTACGCTGAACGGAGAACAGCACTTCCTCTGACATGGATTCTATGTACTTTAGCCAGAGAGATAGAGGATCGCTTAGTTCGCATCGCAAAAGCAAAATGGCGAACAGCGTTCGAAGCCGTGATGGCGTTCTGAGATGTTCACCCTCCGCCATGGCTGCATCCCATTGGGAGCCGTCTTCAAGCAGTCCCAAACGAAAGCATGCCTCTCTATAAGACTGGCACTCTATGCCGTTGATAGTGCGAATATCTGTGAAACTCGTTGGCCCAGCAATTTCATGAAGTAGAAGGCGGAGGTAAAAGCACTCCTGCTGGCTGGGGAGGCACAGTATAAACGCGTCGAAAGGCAAGAGTTAGACCTTACATCGGGATAACCCTCGAAAGGGTCGCCAGCCTTTCGCCGAACCCACCGGTTGTTTGACCACACGTAGTAGGGCGGGACTTGGGGGTATATCAATGTTTTGGCAAGAGCATCTGTTGAGCATAATTTAAAGAAAGCCGTTAGGGTTGTGTCTTTAGGGTTTTCCGCAACCTGCTGGGCGTTTTGTTCGGTGAAGTACATCCTCTGTCCATTTTCTAAGTGAACAGCAAGCTGCACAACGGCTGGAGCCCTTTGGTGTATGGGGAATCCGAAAATTCGCCAAAAGGCCTCGCTACTGCTGAGGTAGTGTCCAGCCACGTAATCGGCCACCTCGTCAACGCAATTGTCGCGCCGGATACCGAAAACGGCAGCATCGCTGCCTTTATTAACGTACTTGCAGATGTACTTTATTGACTTAACCGAGTGGCAGTATTCAACGTTTATGTGGGCTCCAAAAGTCTTGGACAGCAGCGGACAATAAGGCACCACCCAACGATTGTTCAGAGTGTGCCCCTTAACTGTCACAGTTCTGCCGCCCTCAGCGGGGCTTCTACGTCTGTACAGTGGGTAACCATCCGTCGCAGTCTGCGTTTCTGAGATAAACTTACGGGGGTAACCCTTTGCGCAAGTGGGGCCGCTTGATCAACATGACCTTTTTTCGTAATTCGCGCCACAGGGGCCATGTATCATATTGTTTTTAATGATTTCGTGGAGCAAAGGATTCAGCGCAGGATCCGGAATTTCAGCAGAAATAAAATCGTCTATTTTGTTTGCGTCAACCTTATCGTTGAGCCACAGCAGAATGTGGACATGAGGCAAACCGCCTTTCTGCCAGTCCACTGTATACATATGACACTTAACGCGTCCGAAGACTTGCCCTTTAAGGATTAAATCCATAAGCTTACACAGCTGTAACCGGAAAACGCGGGCAGTTAGGTCAGGGCGGAGGGAGTAATGCTGACCTGGAAAAAGTTCGCGTGTGATTTCAACCCATTTCGGATTGCACGTGAACGTGACGAACAAATCAGGACTCCCGTAATGACGGACATAGGTCATTGCGTCGTGTGTCCTTCCATTCATGTATCGAGGGCCACCAGTGTAAGAGGAAGGCAAATGCACGTTTTGTCGAGATTGCGTGGGTCACCATCAGAACGCAGACCATCACGAAGGTGAATGTAGAAGTCGGTTCTTAATTTGGATTGGTTTAACTTGATGAATCCTAACCTCTCCGACTCCATTTTTGCAGCCATGTCAACAACCAATTGAAGAAAAAGTTGATGGCACCTGTGCAAGTGATTAAATTCACCCTCCCAACAGGAGACCTTCTTTGAGGTCGACATAGAATCGCTGTTTGCCTGGTATATTGGGATTTTGAAGTGGTACTCATCGCTTCCGTATGGAAAAAGAAGGGGGTACTGGAGACAGTCGTATGAACGGTGGGTTTCACTGATGCGGCGCAGACCACCGCCCCGGTACCTTATGACAATGTCATGGCTGTTATGCTTCTCACCGTGGATGACTGCGGCGACTTCATTACATACAGGAGCATTGAAGCAACGCTCATTCTCACCGTGAGTCCGTCTGTCTGCATCGATGACAACGCTGAAAGAGGGCGAAGAGTTGTTTTGCAACGCAAACTTTAAGCTTCGGATGTAACTGTTAGTTTCGTGAAGCATATCTTGTAGACGGAACAGAATGTCTCTACGGGGACCGACGGAAATATTGCTAGGCAGAATGCCGAGACGCGCATCAACCTGCTCGTTGTAGTCAGCGAGAAAGTAAATTTGTAGGAACTTAGGTGGCTCTCCCTGATCAGCCAGAAGTAATCCCATTAAGTGGTAAACCTAGGCTTGCACTTTGAAAGTAGGCATACACCTCCACCTCACTAATAGCCTTCGCACCAAAAGACGTCATTTGGATGCAACAGTTGTACTTCCGTATTGCTTCAAGATAATGCGTTGACTCTGAAGTTGTACCCAGAAGGAGGTCCCTAAGCGGCTGGGGAGGTTCGTCTAAAGAAGGAAGTTTGATTTTGCCCCCAGAGCAACAAAGCCCAGGTTGATCACCGGCCCACTTTTTTCCGTTGCAAAAAGTGCAAACTTCATCTATGATCCCTATTTGTAGCGGAATAGTTGACGGTGCAGTCATAATTGTATGCGGCATTTGACCAAAATGACGCAGACGGCGAAGTTACGCCATTCAAAGAAGCTCGAAGTTGGCTAATGTTTTCTAGTTTCTAGTTTTCTGCAGCCTTGTAAGACGCAGTAGAGCGGGCATTTCTAACGCGACGAAAAATGGTTTATGCAGGGCTTTCTAGGTCTCTAGCAGATGCAGTGGAGCGGGCATTTCTAACGCGATGGACAGTGGTCTGTGCAGGGCTTTCTACGGCTGTGACAGACGCAGTGGGTAGGGCATTTCTAAAGAGACGATGAGCGGTTTCTTGGGGTTGTTCCGAAGCTCTAGAGGCGGCTGTAGCCCTAGTATTCCTACAACGACGTGAAGTTCTTTGTTCGGGGCTTTCTAAACCCCTGGAGCAAGCTTTGGAGGTGGCATCCCGCAAACGACGAAGGGTTTTCTGTGCTGGGGACTGTGAAGCCCTCAACCTAGCCACGCAGACTGCGTCTTGTGAATTCTGAAGTGAACGTTCTTCAACTGAAAGCCTGGCGCGGCGTGCGGACATGGTTGAAGCAGTTGAAGCCAACCTTTCAGTCCGCGCAGCGGCGCTTTCCGTAGATAAGCGAGCAGCTGAGCTCGAGGCCATCCGTGAAAGACGCAAAGAAGTCTATTCAGTGGTTTCACTCGCCCTCGCTGCTCTAGCAGCGGAGGCAGCTGCCGTGCGCCGTCCCAAAAGTTTCCTTCTTTTAGGTGGCATCCAAACAGTAAAAACGTCAAAGAGAGTAAAGCTTAAAAAGAGATTTCGACAAATCCAAAACGAAAAAACGTGCACTGCTAACGTAGACACAAAAAGGGAAACACCCAGTAAAATGAGTTCAGATGTTACTCAAGGGGAACTTGAAACTAAAAAAGTGGAAATTTAAAAAGGTAAACCATGGGTAAATCCAAAAGGAAATGGGGTTTTAGTACAATTGGCTGACGTGTGTAGGGTTGGGTTGGAACTATAAAACAAAAAAGCCGCTAGAACACGTAATCAACAACTTGCGGTGTCCGAAGTAGTCGAATAAAGTAAGCCAAGTGCGTGCACGCGGGCAACAATAAACGCAAAAATGTGAAAGCACACCTGAGTCACGCAATAGAGGTGGTTGACTTGAGCGCACTTACACATGAACTGACACGCGATCACGCGGGCGCTATAACGTGTGAGAAATCCTGCGCGATGATTGGACAGGCCACAAGGTCAAGCTCTGTGAAAACGACCAATGGGCTTGCAGCAGTCTCGGTATCGACACGCGGACTCGGTTGTACGCAGCTGTGTGTGTGTAAGGAAGTTACAAAAAAGATTGATCCGCGTGCAGCTATGGTTATTTTTGCCAAAACTGTACATACTGTGCCAGTGAATGTGTGTTCAGAGGGCTAAATCCTGTCACTTGGTAACCCCGTTTATGGTTCCCTGATCAAGCGGCTTTGACAGCCTTGCAAACAATTTGGTACTTGTTAGATAGCCAAGCATTAGTGCTATCAGAAACTGGACCATTTGCTTTGTTTTGGTGGCTCGGTAACAAAATATTGTCCAAAGAAATCTGCATAAATGGCAGTCTCCCGTGCTTTCAAATTGATTTCGTGCAAAAACAATTGTGTTTTTCCAATTTTTGGCGCTGTCAGAATCACTGCTGAGTAATTTTACGTAGTCCTGTGAAATTTTGTTGAAATCTGTTGAAAAATGTAGGAAATCCGATCCCATATATAAACGAACAGACACACACACACATAAAAGAGCGTTAACTCGGGTATAAATGATGGAATTTATAAAATTCTAGATGAAAAATACAAAAAAAAAAAATTACCAAGTGAAGAGATGGAAAAAAAGTACCATTTGCACAAACGTATGTAAAAATCCTATCTACCTGTTCAGGATATGAATATCCTGACATTGTTAAACGAATAACTTCCGAGTTAACTCTCTGATACACACGTTAAACGTTAAAGATAGATTAGCCACAAATGTACACGAATGACAAATCTAACCTAGTCTACATGGTAACACAGCGCTATCTACCGTAAACTTGCTTTAAATTTAATAACTCAGAAGCGACGTTTGACCTTGTTTTGGTGTGCGGAACCCGATTTGTAAAAGTATTTTTGATATCTTCTGAATATATATATATATATATATATATATATATATATATATGTTGAGAGAGACAGATAGAGAGAGAGAGGGTGAAATAGGCAGATTTCTCACAACAAGAAAAGAGACGGCTAGATGTGCAAACTTGTTTATGAACGAAATGACATGTCCGATTATATCAAAATAAATTTGAAAGCAGACCACACATTGTTTTGCTAACTTATACATTAATGACATCGTTCTTTTCTTAGAAATGGGAATTTTCTCTGACTTCTGAATCTAAAGATCCTGGTTCTTAAAGAAAAATCATTTCTTTCATTCTGAAAATGGTGTAAAATTCTCCCAGGCTTAATTAATAAGAATCCTTTTATTTTTGATTGACAAAGAAAAAAAAAGACAAAATGCTTAGAAATAGCGTTTGTAAAATTCTGTTATTCGCATTGAAATGACTTTGAAAACAGGGATGGCCTAGGAAAATATCCCTACGACTGGTATTATGGTAAATATCCCTACTAACTGGTATTATGTAAGCGACTACTGTCTGTCCTTGGCCGGCTCATCGGCGAATAACCCCGACCACTTAAGAGTCTTTTCAGGTGAGGATTTTGCCTGGACACCCAGCAAGATTAAAAATAAGACCCGTCAAAGGGTGGCAGAACATTCCTGGGGGGCAGGGATTCTCAGCCGCCTCACCCTAGTGTGCCGCGTGATGCTTTTAAGTGTGCTGCGAAAGTGTGATTTAGATTCGAAATCCCTTCATAAATGTTCCTTCTAAGATTAGACTTCAGTTATGTGAAGAAGGAGAATTGGCCACCATTTCTAGGGATCGAGGGCTCAAAATAAAATATTCGACGGTAACCATACATTTTGGATTTCAATACAAAAGGAATATCTCACATTAGCTAAAAAGGCTTTATCAGTTTTATTGCAATTTTCTACTTCTTATTTATGTGATTTAGGCTTCTCAACTCTAAATAATATCAAAAATAAGAAGCGAGAAAGACTACGCTCAAATGAAGAAGAAATGAGGGTCTGCTTATCACCCATTGATACATTTTGGATTTCAAAACAAAAGGAATATCCCACATTAGCTAAAAAGGCTTTATCAGTTTTATTGCAATTTTCTACTTCTTATTTATGTGAATTAGGCTTCTCAGCCCTAAATAACATCAAAAATAAGAAGCGAGAAAGACTACGCTCAAATGAAGAAGAAATGAGGGTCTGCTTATCACCCATTGATTCATTTTGGATTTCAATACAAAAGGAATATCTCACATTAGCTAAAAAGGCTTTATCAGTTTTATTGCAATTTTCTACTTCTTATTTATGTGAATTAGGCTTCTCAACCCTAAATAATATCAAAAATAAGAAGCGAGAAAGACTACGCTCAAATGAAGAAGAAATGATGGTCTGCTTATCAGACATTAAATATGCAAAATGGAGAAGGCCGATGCAGGCAACAGTCTGATATTTGATTTCTTGCATGGCTTTTGGTTTTGAGCCATCTGATACGAGGGTCTTTCATAAAGTTTAAAACCTCTCCCAGAGAGAAGAGTCATAGCTGAACATTTTTGTTGTGGCAACACGCTACCACCTCTCATAAAACTAGGAAAACTAAGCATTCTGGGTATGACGATAAGCTTCAGCTGAAAAAAAAAATCCAGACGACATCCATTCAACTGATGTCAGGTTTCATTGTAAAATACATCCCTACCCCTTACCAAATTGTAGCTAATAACTGATACAATGATACTGACATAAGGAAAATCTAGACATGCCTTGTTCAATTTAAGTAGAATATTCTGTAGCCATGGAAACGTGATTTTTAGCTGTGTCTTTAAAAATCCGGTAATTTTTAAAGTTACTCCAAAATTCGCTTGAAGATGAAATGGAAGTAATGCTTTTAATTTAATTGCAAAATTAAATTCAGGGTTTTTAGCTTCTATTTTTGAAACATGGTTGGAATTGTGTAGTGAAAAAAACCATATTTTAAATCAATTAATTTTTATATATATATATATATATATATTTATTAAAAGACATTTTTATGTTTAACGTCCTTTTATAGATACAAGTATTTAAGTAAATGCTCTGTTTATAATAAACAGTATTAAATAAACACAGCATTTACTTAAATACTTGTATCTATAAAAAGAACGTTAAACATAAAAATGTCTTTAATAAATAAATTGACGTATATATATATATATATATATATATATATATATATATATAGATAGATAGATAGATCTTATAGAAGAATGTGCTTTCTGCATTCTGTTGAGGATTCTAGATTCGATGAATTACTTATTTATGATTATCTAAAATCCTCCTAATAATTTCTATCACTTGAACCAGCGTCTAATGCTCTGGGTGGAGCCGCTTAGGGATATAAGTCGTGGTTCGTGGAGGCACAGTCCTATGGGTAAGGGAAACTCGGGTGAGTTACAACACGAAATTTGGGAGGCGTGGCGCTATATCGAGTCTAATTCGTTACGTCTTTGTCGCTGAGGTCCGTTCGTTCAGTTGGTATGACGTTTGCCTGACATCGTAACTCTGAGGGTTTCAATTCTCGGCAGTGGATGCTCACTGCTGAGGAGTCCCAAATATATATATATTCTATTGAGGATTCTTCTAATTATGATTTTTTCAAAACCTCCAAATAGTATATATATATATATATATATATATATATATATATATATATATATATATATATGCATATATATAAAGAGCTGCAGATTAGAAACGCTCCTTTTTCAAAACAACACAAACATATTTTACAACGTCACAGTTAAAACACTTTGATAAATGACAACACCAGAGATAAAACCCCCTTTAAAATGGCTATAGAAGTGACTGAAATCCCTTGTGACAATAAAATTGTGGTCAATTTTTTTTATTTTTAACTCAACATAACGGGAAAATGTTAAGATGCAGGAAAAACTTTATAAAAATTAATTCACTCTTCCTTGTCGGCCGTATTCAATGAAAGATGTTTGAAAAGAAAGGTTGATGCCAATTTATATATATATATATATATATATTGGCATCAACCTTTTCTATATATATATATATATATATATATATATATATATATATATATATAATTATTTATTTAAAAATATGATTCCTCCGCTACATAAGAGTTCTCATGTTTCAAAAACAAGAGCTGAAAACTTCAATTAGAATTAAATTGAATTTAAATGCCAAGCTCTGTTTCATCTTCAAGCGAAATTTTTGATGTACAATAATGGATCATATGCAATATAGGTGAACAATTCTACTAGAAAAATTGAAAGTATATAAAATGTATGTAAATACAAATTTATAGATCATAAATAATCATAATAGATCATTCCATCTTAAATAAATCAACAATGTTTTGTGGCAATTTTTAACATCAACTTGAGATTTTTCTTGTTAAAAAGTTGAATAATTTTAAAATATTCAACATTATGGATAAAAAATAGTGAATTTTATACAGTGTTTTTTTTTTTTTGAGCAAAGCAAAT